AACAATTTGGAGATATCCATTGGAGCAGGCAGAGTCAAATATTTCACAACAAAATTAGATTTTCCGTAGACATTACAAGCCGTGTATGTAAATTAGTAGACAACATGGATCTGTACTTTTAAAACTACTTTTACGAAGCCCAACAACCCAGACTGAGGACTTCTTTGCAGGTAAAAAGAAGAAAGTAAGTCTATCCAACTCACTTTTTCACAGTAAAGGTCTCCTGAACCAAAGTCCTGTCCCCATTCACTGAATGTGTCATGTTCGGCATGCATAAGGAGGTAAGCAAAAGACTGACACAGTAAATCCATTCATAGACATGCTTCCACCAATTGTGGAGAAGCATTTTCATTTGCTCAGCTGCTCATTTAAGAACAATTGTAGAACACAGACCGCAGCCACTTAGGCCAAAGCAGCAGAAGACAACTGCATCAGAAGTGCACATCAATAGAAAACACCCAAAACCAAGCTTTGTAAAGACACTGAGGTGTCTACAGGCATGAAGTCAATGTTCTTACTCCAAGGGCAACATGTACAATTACCAAGGCTGGAACACATGTACTTGCAAATGGAGTATGTAAAGAAAAAGGCAACATTTCTGCCCAAGGACTTCAAGCTAGACAGTTCTGTAACATGGATGAGGAAATTAGCATTTCATACAGAAGAGTCCAAACTAATGATCAAACTATCTGCACATTGCAATCCAAGTGATCACGTGGGTGTCATTTCAACCCTTACAAGTCAGCCAGCTCTGGGCCAGTAAATGGCAAACACAAGGCGCATGTGAGGCCAATTCACCATGATGTACATGTTAGAACAGAAATCATATTTTTAACTTGCCAACATGTTTTCATCACATCAAGATCTACTGGGTCATGGTGAGGCATAAAAGTTTATATAAAGTGCCTCTCCAGCCAAAACATTACTTTGGGATGTAGCGGGAGGTGGTTATGACCTCGGTCAGGTTTGTGTCCTCAGAGATGCACCCTTGCTTCCTGTATTGTTGGAGCAGAACGTAAAAGAAAACCCTCCAATGGGGACAGACAGCAGTAGAATCCCAAAACTAGTTCTAACCCTTCTGCACTATTTAAAAAGGGAAGAAAAAGGGGCTTGGGCTATAGTTCTAATTAAGCAACTGAGTCTATTGTGCAGAAATGACTAATAGGGCCTGCAAAGGTAGATTCCTAATACTATTCTTTTTTAGCTACAAGGCAATGAACTATGGACCGTTTCACTGGATTCATCTGCCTTCCATGTTGCCACTTTCTAGCAGTTTCCACCTCAGCTGACTTGTCAGTCTTTTGTCTTCTTGGTGGCTATTAAATCATCCACATTTGGATTTTTATTGATCCACTGTACAATATTGTATTTGACATCAACACTACATAAATACTTTGATTTGATGGCTTCAGAAAAAAACAAATCTATTCCTTGATCTGCTTTACAATGTGTTAATTAGGATTTCCTGTACGCTTTCATTTGGTTCCTTGAGTGAGACTAACAATTCCTTTGGAAGGTCTGGCCACTTTTTTTAAAAATTTTGCAATCAATACCCTGCACACGGTGAGAGGAGCCCAGGGATGCAGAAGAGGCCAAACTGAAATCCGGTCCCTTCCCTCAAACCTCAGAGTAGTATTGAGTCTTTTGAGGTCACTTTTTCCTCTTTAAGTGACGCTAACCCAAAAGGAACAAAAGCTTAATTATTTGATTGAAAAAACTAAAATAATGTAGGTGATGAAACTGCCATATCATTATCCTTTAATCTCTTATTGGTTACATGGCCAAACACAGGCCACAGGCCTGACATTATTCCACAACTAGCTTCCTCCCAATATTTCTAAAAACGCACTAAATGTGACCCAACGAATGAGGATCTGTGGTTACGTTACTCATCCTTAGTTAAAAAGTTACAGGGTTATTCACAAAAGGGTGAAGAGTTTGGAGAAGGCAGGAGAAGTGAACAATCTAGGACAGTGGTGCCCATTAGGTTGATTGCGATCTACCAGTCGATCGCAAAGCTAACACTGGTAGATCGCATGTCGGCTCAATGTCCTGAGCTCCCTCCAGCAGTTCTAGTGCAGCTGAATGTGTGATGCAGTTCCCCACATGACCTGAAGGTGGCGCTGAAATCGTGCGAAGCCCGTGCACAGTGCTGTAATCCTTCTGGCTGATAGAACCAGGAAGTGTCCCCCAGATACAGCAGCAGGAACAGAGGAGAGGCTGAGCAGGCTGCATCCGGTCCATGGTACACCTCACCCAGCAAAGCATACAATGAGTACATTGGGACCAACAAGGTACTGTGATCTGTAAACAGCCCTGCGTCCATGCAGCTATACCCACCCCACATAACAGAGGCAATGGGCTGTTTATAAAGAGCAGCTAAAACAACCAGTGTGTATTACTACTTACTTCAGGTCTAGGGAATTATTGTGTGTTTACAGGAGGGCACTGTGGGCTGTCAGCATCTTGTATTACACAGCACCCCATCAGCAATCATGATATCATTTTTTCCATCTTATATACTTCACAGGATCCTTTCCAGTCTGAGGGCTTGTTAACACCACTTCAAGTGCGTTCCAGCCCGGTGAGCTGCTGGAACGCACTGGATCACATACTGTAAGGCTCCCAGTGTTCTGGGGTGGGAGGGGGGCGTAGTGGTGCGGTAGTGCTTATATTATTTTTTGTGATCGCATCGGACCAGAATACATTGTTGTGCCACACATTCTGGTGTGGTTAATCGCACTGCGGTCAGGGGCGTAGCTGCAGTGCCATTGACTTGAATGCACCACCACTCCCACCCCAGAATGCAGGGAGCCTTACAGTATGCGCTCCAGCAGCTCGCGTGCTGGAACGCGCAGGAAGTGGTGTGAAAGGGCCCTGAGAATATTCTGCTTTACTAATTTCCTGGCTGTCACCAGCCCTTGTGTGTTTATTGAACAAGCTGGCTAATCCCATAACTGCTAGACAGCTAGGAGAGAGATTGAGGAGAAACATCAAGAGAGAGAGCAGGGAGAGACATCCAGGAGAGTGGAGAAACACAGAGAGCGAGGAGAGCCAATTAGGAGACAGTGAGGAGAAACACAGAGGGAGAGAGAGCCAGCCAGCAGAGACAGGATTGAAAATGTAGTAAGAAGCGTTGAAGCCCAGTTTTTGGGGTTTTTTTCATTGGTAGATCTTATTGAGCTCGTCATTTGAAAAGTAGATCTTGACACAAAAAATTGTGGGCACCCCTGATCTAGGACAACATAGCTGATTTGTAAAGATTCTTCAATTCAGCTCACTTTCCAGCTCAGCTATGTTGTCCTAGATGGTCATCTTCTCCTGCCTTCTCCAAACGCTTCACCCTTTTGTGAATAACCCCGTTAGACTTTACAACACTTCCAGAGCCAATCCTGGTGAAAGGTGGACTACAGCCTTGCTCTACCTAAAGCCCAATTAAGAACTCAAGAAAACCCCAGGCAGCCTGGACAGTTGGCAGGTGAAGACTACACAGTACAAAGCTTGCGTATCGTTTCTGTAATATGACAGAATCAAGCAACATAATTTTTCTAAACTACATAAAAAAGCTTCAACAAGCTGATAAAATGCTACACATAATTAAAAGAACTTGACCTATTTGTCCCTTTAAAAAAAAAAAAAAAGCACACCAGTAAAAAAAAAAAAAAAGCAGTATAAAGTATACAGGATATAGTTTCAAAGGTTAAATCCACAGTGACTTAATTGCACCTTCAGGAACTGAAATAAGCTGTGAAAAGTTAGTCCGATGAGCAATGGAAAAAAAATCCTTATTTAGAAAGCTTTAAAAAAAACAAACACAAATACAGCAGATAAAACCAGGGACAGCTTCCAGTCTTGTTCTCGGATAGGTTGTGCGTCAACTGAAATTAATATTTCATAAGCTTTAAAGGAATCCTCGTGGACTGGCTGTCATACTAAACCAGTATCTTCAGTGACCCAAGCATAGAACAAGTTCTAAACTTCACTCAATACTTTGAGCTGTTGACCTGATTTGCAGATCAAGAAAGTCAAAATCAACCAGACTGCTAGCATTAGGTTTAGCATCTTGCTTTAGGACATCTGCAATGGCATATACATATTTCTTTTTATACAGGTTCCCTTTTAACAGCAGCTTTTCCACAAACTGTGGCCCTGCATCATCCCGCATGTCCATTACCCATGCACCAGCTGGAAACCCCAACAGCTGCCCATTTCCCATCAAACGAAACCTGGAGCATTGCAAAATGCCAACAAAAAGCCTCATATGAGGTTTCATTTTACAACATCCTGACTGCATTCTGGGGCGGATCAGCTGCATGCAGTCACTTGCTCAGAACTAAAATTGGGACCAAGAGCTGGAAAAAGGGCAGTGGCCATGGAGAACATTACAGGGTTTCTGCTTTCTACAGGTTAAATGACCCAAGCTTGATTTTTCTAGTGTGTGGATGCTGGTGGGTTACTGCTCCCCGGTTGCCATACCCCTCAGGAAGATCAGCAGCAAAACATTCCAATATGTTCCCAACCGCCAGGCTGAGAATTAGACTGGAGTCGTGCTCTAGCTGCAAAAATCCCCTAAAATTTGCGTTCTTGTTTATGGTGAATTCATCAAGCGCAATGCCCTTATTTTGCTTGTCCTAGAGGTGCACAAAGCCAGTGGGAGATTCTAACTAACCAGTGCCCACCGAGCAGAGAAATACTTACATTTAGGACTTCAGAATTTAAGAACAAAAACCCAGAATATACCCAAATACCGAACCATACATTTAGGTCTACAGACCAGCAATTTGTGATATGGACCAGCACAACATCAAGCCTCCCTGTTTCAGGACCTGTTACAGCCGCTGCTTGCAACGCACATCTGATTTATGTATACGGCCACAGCAGTGACCAAGGCTGCTGCATGGCTTGCACCAGGGAATGCATGGTCCGGGGCTTGTCAAAAAAAAACAAAACACAACTGTCTGACTGGAGGTATACAGGTTAGTAACAGTTAGTCCTCAGATATCCCCCTTATGAACCCCATTTGGTTTATCCGGAAAGCTCTCCATAAAGAAATCTCGCTTTCACAATTGAAAGAACCATAAAAGGCCATTTGAAGACGATGGCAACGTGACCTAATGCTCAGCATGTACAAGCGGACTGATACAATATGAAAATCGTTCTTTAGTCAGGTTGTCTGGTGTGTCCAAAAAAAGTTTTCACATACTCTCTTGTTTTAGCATCACTTGATTCAAGTGTGGCTCAGATAGGACAGTTTGTATAAATAACGTATGTTGATGACGTAGTGTAGGAAAGTATTGTCCGTGGAATAAAGTGTCCTGCTTCCAAATGCTGGGAAGAAGTTATCTCACTCCTGTTCGGCAAGTCATCCACTCCAGGCCTTGACATAAGCTTAAGAGTGGAAAAAAAGGAAAGTCAGTACATTTTCTGCAGATACTTTCATTTACAACTTGTGCAGCACTGTACACGGCACAGACCATTTACATTAGTCCCAAATAAAAACTATCCTAATGGCTAAATAGCGAGCTACTAAAAACATTTTGACTTCAATGGTATTGTTGGAGCTTGCCACTATCTCCCATTTCCACACATTTCTACTGACCCATTAATAGGACAGGCTGCCTTACTGAACAAGGTCAAGCACATTTCAGCACCATTGGATTGTGCCAGAGCCCGTCTGAAAGGCCCAACATTTGATAGTAACTGCAGGCTTTTAAAGGAGAACTATGGGGTTCTATTTTTTCTTTATTATTGCATTCCTTAGGCTAAAGGAGTAAATAGTGTAATTGACTCCAATAAGCCAAAATGCACCCTAAGCCTGTAAACCCTACTTTAAGATGGTGGGCGGGGCTAAGCGCCGCAATGAGGAGAGATCCCGACAACACTGCCGGGATCATCCCCACTGATCACTGACTGATTCTTGAGAACTGCTGCATGTCCATGAATATATGGACATGCGTAGCAGCTCTGTCCACGCAGCTCTCTCCTTACCTGCACGTCCCCGTCCTGTGTCAGCCTTTCCTTCCCCTCCGTCATGCTGACATCCTAATCACTGGGGATTGCTGAAGAGAGGGGAAAGAGGGCTCTCCCTTCATCATTTACCACATATGGGCAAGTCCATATATGGTGAATTATGTCACTGGGGATCCCTGGAGATTGGCAAGCATCCGCTCAGCAGGAATCCCAAGTGACAGAAGTCACCATATATGGACTTGCCAATAAGTGGTAAATGATGGGAGAGAGAGAGGGCTCTGTCCTCTCTCTCCCTGCCCTGTGCCCTGCTGACATCATAATCACTGGGGATCACTGATGAGGGAAAAGAGCACTCAAAGTGCAGGGAGGCCGAGTCAGTTCTATTGCCGCTGCCTTTTCACTTGAGACTCCGCCTCCCACTCCCAAATGCCAGTGTGCACGATGAGGAAGCGCGGCCACAGCAATGAGAGAATTTGGGGGTAAAAAAAAGCTGAGGGCGGGCTGGATCCACTGTTAATGCCCCCCAAGAGGAAAGGAGCTTGGAGCAGAGATGCAGGTGGCCGTTTCATGTGAGTTTTGATGATTTTATCTGTGATGTGGTTGGACTTTAGAAAAAAGGAAGAATGCCAATAAAATAAAAGTAAGAAGTATTTTTATTTGAACTTAGGTCATAATTCTCCTTTAAAAGCTACAGCATGTATGTATGTATACATTATATATAAAGCCAGTTTTATATTTAAGCTCTGACATAATCCCTTTAAAGCAGATGACTTGCAAACAGAAGCCACATACACAACATGCTCCATTTACATTTGTCCCCACCTTTATTACACAAGATTATTATCTGATGGTTAAATACACAAAAGCAAAATGGCAATTATTCAGGTATCCTACTGAACTGTATTTAGTTTCTGGGAGGAAATGTACACAAAGAAAAAAAACATACAACCTTTATGTATTTAGTGTTGACGGAGGGAAATCTCCAATAATCATTTGATGAGTTTGCATCCCAGAAAAAAATTGATTTTGTAACACTTCCAAGTTCAGTAATGAAACTTCCTGTGTCACCTCTCAAACCCCAGCTACCTCATTGGATGATGAATCAATATCAGACTTCAGTCCAATGGGAATGCAAAGCTGAATCAGGTACAAAAGTCAAAGATTTGCAGTGCGGCATAGATGTGTGAATTACAAGAGTGGCTGAACAAAATCATTAGGCAGGGAAAGTAAAAGAAAAAAGAAAGAAGAAAAAATATATTTAATATGCATTTCAGCTGTGTATTTTGCCACTAGTGAGTTTTTCTTTAAAAAAAACTTGTAAGGACAAAATCAGAGCATCCCCTTGCTGGCTTCTCAATTGTTGCAGATTCAGAAAAGGACAAAAGTAATTTTACCTAAATATTTTAAAATTACAAGACCAG